AACTGATGCCACAGAGATATAAGAGATCATCTCTGAATACTACCAGAAACTCTATGCCCAGAAATTTGACAATGTGAAGGAAATGGATCAATATTTGGAATCACACCCTCTCCCTAGACTTAGCCAGGAAGAAATAGAGTTCCTGAACAGACCAATTTCAAGCTCTGAGATTAAAGAAACAATAAAAAATCTTCAAACAAAAAAATGCCCTGGTCTGGATGGCCTCACACCAGAATTCTATCAAACCTTCAAGGAAGAGCTTATTCCTGTACTGCAGAAATTATTCCAAAAAATTCCGGAGGAAGGAATCCCTCCCAACGTGTTCTACGAAGCAAATAGCACCCTGATACCAAAACCAGGAAAAAACCCAACTAAAACGGAGAATTTTAGACCAATTTCACTAATAAGTATAGATGCAAAAATTCTCAACAAAATCCTAGCTTAGGGGTCCTCAATCTTTTTAAACAGGGGGCCAGTTCACTGTCCCTCAGACCGTTGGAGGGCCAGACTGTGGGCCCTGGGGACGAGTTGGCTACTAAGCAGGATAGGCAGCGGCAGCAAAAATATCTGGTGGGCTGGATAAATGTCGTAGGCGGGCTGCATGTGGCCCACAGGCCGTAGTTTGAGGACCCCTGTCCTAGCTGATAGATTACAGCTTATCATCAAAAAAGTCATACCTACCATGATCAAGTAGGTTTTATCCTGGGGATGCAAGGCTGGTTTAACATATGCAAGTCCATAAACATTATCCATCATATAACAGAAGCAAAAACAAAGACCATATGATCCTCTCAATAGATGCAGAAAAAGTATTCAATAAAATTCAGCATCCTTTTCTAATTAGAACATTGAAGAGTAAGGCATAGGTGGCACATTTCTTAAACTGATTGAAGCTATCTATGAAGCTATCTTCCCACAGCTCATATTTTACTGAAAGCTTTTCCTCTTAGAACTGGAACCGGACAAGGTTGTCCTCTGTCAACATTACTAACAAACATAGTGCTGGAAGTTCTAGCCAATACAATTAGGCAAGACAAGAAAATAAAGGGCATGCAAACGGGAGCAGAGGAGGTCAAACTCTCCATCTTTGCTGACGATATGATATTAGAGAACCCCAAAGACTCAACCACAAGACTCCTGGAAGTCATCAAAAAATAGAGTAATGTCTCAGGATATAAAGTCACTGTCCACAAGTCGGTAGTCTTTGTATACAGCAATAACAGTTAAGATGAGAGGCCATTTAAGGACACAACT